AGTGCTTGAATGAGAGGACACGCGAGATTTATAGTGGTTCACTCTGTTAATAAAGAGCTACATCCACTTGTGTATGATATATTTCTTTTGGACTTTTTACAATGCATGTATATTCTCTCTATCATTCAATACTCGAGAAGTCCCCCCCTTCGTGTATGGGGCTTTTCCCTTTTTATAGCTCAAGCTTCCTTCGTGAGCGGTTTTCTTTCGTAGGTAGAAGTACTCGAGTGGCCTACCTTTCTAAGCTCAGATCATAGCCCACTAATCACCTTTTGGACTGTTCACTCAACCAATTAGTCTTCTATTACAGCTCTGTGGATTCCTGTAATCTTTCACTGCCCACTGTAGGGCGGTTTAAGGGATTGCAATTAATGCCCGTACTGCAGACGTCTCCCACCCCTAGACGCAACTTGTGATGTCAGGCTTCTTTCTGAAAAGTATTCCCCTCGGCGTCTGTGCCGCGTAGACCTCATGTCCTCTGATAGTTGACCCTTTCTAGAGGAAGTTTGTTGCATAAGTTCGACGGCACAACTGGTTGACGCCCTAATTTGGGCCTTTCTTTGCAGCGTCGAGGGGAAGCGAGCTCCAAGCATCGAGGGTAGTCAAGCTCCAAGCATCGAGGGTTGTCACCTTTTGAGGGAAAGTAGGGTCACGTGTCACGCTGTCACCGTTCCACATATCACCCACATTTTCCCACACAACAATTAACATTATTTATAGTGCAAGTAATACTAAATACTAACTCACTATGGTTACATAATTGTCTTCTTTTCCTTATCTTAACATATATAACGGTTAGAAATTTGGCTTGAAAACCCTTTTTCAGGAATCAGGCTTGATTTTGAGCAGAAACTATTTCGTGTTAGTGACGGTTCAATTTGAAATTGTGTTCTCCGTTGTGAGGAGATTGAAATGATATATTTATATGCTCAAAATGGTTAACGGGTAAATAAGAAATTGAATTTCAAAGTGCTACTTTGAAATTGAGAAAAATCGAAGCAAAAGCTCCAAAGAAGTTGAAAAAAAACAGAAAAACGTTTTGTCCCACATCAAAAAAAGAAGAAGTCATGATCTTCTTTAAGCTTTATATAAAGGAACCCCACTCTTCAATTGAGACACACCACAGTCTTAGAGTTTTCCTCTTCTTTTAAAAATTCTACCTCCTACTACTAGTGAGCTGTTACTACTAGTGAAGTTGAGCCATTACTATTAGTGAAGTCTTTGTATCCTGAGAGTTCCCGTTGTATTCTAAGAGTCAAGCGCCTATTCGATCCTCATGTGTCCTGAGAATTCCCGTTGTATTTTAAGAGTTAGACGCCAATTCGATCCTCATGTACTTCACTGTGTGATACATAGGCCTCAGTATTTTTTAATTCAAAAGTTATATATATTTTTTTCTACAATATATATTTATATTGACATTATCGTCATTGCATATTGTTGAAATTATTTTTCAGATTCAGTTGTAATTTATTTCTATTATTTCTGTTAATTGTTATTATAATATTGTTGATTTCGTTTCTGCAATTTTTATATTAATAATATGATCCTCTGTTTCTAATTATTCTATTCATCTATTTTATATTAATATATTTTATATATTTAATAATAATATTTTATCCTACATATATAAAAGAGAGGGAAAAAAATCCTCCTGTTCATTTTGTAGTTGTCCTACACGCACCGTTTTGGTGCTTTGTCTTTTTTTTTTTTTTTTTCTGTTTTGTGTTTTTTTAACTTTTGTTGACATTTTTGCCCTTTTTTCTTTTTCTTTATTTTTTTTCATTTATTTACCGTAGTCTCTTATCCTTTTTTACCGTCCATTCTGCATCGTTTTGATGCTTGTCTTTTTTTTCTTTTTCTTTTTTCATTTCTTTCTTTTTACTATTCTTTTTGACATTTTTACCCTTTTTTCTTTTTTTCTCATTCCCTTTATCTTTTAAGTCTCTTACCTTTAAAACCACTTGAATCTTTCTTTCCTTTTAATTCCGCCATTTTGGTTGTTTACCCTTTTTCCCCCGTTTTGTGTTTAGCTCTTATTTGTCTACCATTATCTCTTATAAATGACACACTACGTTTTTTCTTCTTCTTTTTTTGTGCTTTACGTTGTTCTCCTTTCTCTCTCTTTTTTGTTACTTTAGGAGACGTTTGGTTCATAGATTAGAATTATGATATTAGAACCATTTTTTATTTACGTATATTTTTTGTGAGAGAAAATACTATAACGAACCATGAACTATGATTCAAATCATAGTATGAATCCTCTTATCAAACGTGACCTTAATCTTTTTTTTTCTTCTCTTTATTTTTGGCCCATTTGTTCACTATGATCTCCTTTCTTTTTCCTTTCGTTCCTCATTAATTTTCTCTCAATTTCAACTTTATTGCTCCCTCTCATAGATATATTAAAACTTTAATCTCAACTTTCTGACTAAAATCATCTAGTTGGTTGTGATTAATTCTAACTAGCTTTTTTCAATCCTTTCATGGTCAAGTGTGTGTTTTGGTGTCTCTAAACTGAAGAACTATTAAAATTTTATTTCGTTATTGGAATATACAGTTTTGACTACTTAATTGATAAACTACTCTTTAGTTAATAAACTGTCTATGTTTAGACAAAATCTAACACAATATAAATGACAAATAACATGTCGGTGTTTTTCTTGAAAAAATGAAATAAAATCTGAAATAAAAAAAATTAAATTATGTTCCCAGTCTAATTTTTTTCCTTGTTTAGATTATATACAGTTTTAGATCTCCGTGTTTATTTTAATATTTAATACCAGCTTGATATGTTATACTAATGCTACATTTTGTCTAAAAATAGTGAATTTATCAATTGATGGATCGAAAATCTATATTTTATAGATCTCATGATAGTCAAGCATCTCAAAATGAATGTCGACTGCTAAAATAAAACAAATTCATAATTTAAAGGTTATTTGTGTAAATAATTTTTTTCTTTTTAAGTCTCTAAATCTTTTTTTTTTGTGTGCATTCATTCTTTTTATTCATAAAATAACGTCTAAGTTATAAAATATACCTTAACTAGTACATATTAAAAGAGTGCATATAGGCACCACTATTCATCTTTAGTAATAAAAAACGCACCATTAAAGTGCTTCACTTTTTTTTTCTTTTTTCTTTTTTCTTTATCTTGTGCTTTCATCTTTTATTTGTTTGCTTATCTTATGTCAATATTAAAAACTTGTGGTGCTCCCTCTCCTCCCTTTCTACCTCCCTTGTTTCACTTTGAAACTCTAAGGCCTCATTCAGTTTATTACTTTAAATTAAAATGTGACTTTATGTGATAATTTTTAACTATAGTAAAAATATTTGATGTGACTTTTTATGAGAGTTTTTAACTGTAATAAAACTGTAATTAAAAACTCGAATCGGTGAAATGAATGAGACCTAATTATATTTTTTTTCCCTTTTGTTTTCCTTTCCCTAATGTGTGCTTCTATTTTGTTTTTGTTTTTTCTTTTAACTCTTTTATTTTTTTTATTTTTATTTTTCATACCCTGTTAAATTCTAAATATATGAAAAAGTGGATAAGTGGTTAGAGTTCATTATATGGTTATCCAAAATGATGAATTTAAAATGGTTTTTTTTTCCTTTTCGTTTTTGATTTTCAACTCCTTTATTTTTTCTTTATTTTGTTATCTCATAATTTATATTCATCCTATAGTAATTTAAAACGGTGATTTTTATATGCTTCGTTTTCTTTTCTTTTGAAGTTTCTTTCTTTTTTTTTTTAATGCTTCTTTTCAAGTTTTAGTTTTAACTCTCTCTTTTTTTTTCTTATCTTATAATTTAGAATGGCATGTATTTTCGTGATTGAAAGTAATTTTTTGACTTAAAATACTATTAACTTACACTTAAAAAAAAAAAAAAAAAAAACTACTCTATATAGTGGGGTGAGTTGTGCAATATCTGTTAGAACATACATGCCATTGCTTAGAATAATAGCATTAAAATGTATACTTGTTTTGAATAAGTAGGATTTTTTTCTGCATACTATTATTCTTCATATATATTTTAGGTTATTAGGGCTTGTTCTTTTGGAGTTTAATTTGAGTATAATTCTTAAGTTGAATTTGAGTTATAACTTGAGTTGAACTTGTAACTTGAGTTTGTATTTAGTTGTGTACATTTGAGTTATGGTTTGAGATAAGAATCTTTTTGAGTTTGTGTTTGAGTGAGTCAAAACTTAAATTTGTATTTAGATAGTATTTTAATAAAAACTCAATGCTGATAAAAAATTTTAATAGGGTATATGGGTCGGGTTTTATTCATCTTTTCATTGTTAAAGTATAGAAAAAATACTATTCATTAATTTGAGTTCGAGTTTTTGAACTCGAGTTAAAGGGAAAACTTGAACTCGAGTTTGAACTCAAGTTTAAACTCGAGTTTAAACTTAAAAGAACATGAACTCAAATAAAATTGTAACTCGAGTTGTTTTTTTTTGAGTTTTTCACTCAAAAGAACAAGCACTAATATTTTAATTACAACTTAGTACGTGCATCTCACGTACTTAAACTAGTTGGATATGCACGTGCTTAACTAGTTGGATAAATTTTATTTTTTCCTCTTGAACTTTGGTTACTCTATTATTTTGTCACTCAAATTTTAAAAACTGATCGAGACAGCCCTCAAATTTTAAAATTTTAGATTCCGTTCATTTTACTGATTTGAGTTTTGTTATAGTAAAAAGCTCTCAGAAATAATCACATTTAACTTTTTTATTACAATAAAAAATTCTCACATAAAATCACATTTAAACTTAAATTAAAAACTCAAATCAATGAATTAAACGGGTGCTTAGTATTTTTACCCCTTCTGTTCAACACCTTCAATTTGATGCTGATGTGGACGTAAATTAAGTAATGATAGAAGGGCAAAATGTAATTTCACATGGGATGAGGTAATTAGGGTTTTGTTTGCTTGCCTACCCAATCCATTTGCAGGGAAAAAAAAATCCCAAATTTGAAACTTCATGTGCAAGTTCGTGCAAGGCAGAGTGCAAAGGCTGAAATTCTGAAACTCCACCCAAAATTTCATGTGCAAAATTTTTTTTTTTTTTTTTAAAGGAGGAACGATACGTTATTACGTTTGGGTTTCCCAGAGAACTGAGCAGGTTCGGCTTTTAATATTCTTAATTTTATGTAATATATTTGCCAAAACCATTCCCAATTTCGAGTTTGGGCAGAAAATCTGCTTTTAATTTTACCTAAATACAATGAATTATGTTGAAAGATTGACAATTTGTTTACACACTAAGATGAATTCTGCTAATTACGAGTTTAGTTTCTCAATGACTGTTAACTTGCTTGAGAAAATCCCTAGTGAGTATTCATATATATATATATATATTCTGTTATTAGGGATTTGAATTATGTTATCAATTACGTTTATTGTTTAGATTTGATTTCATCTTTATGTTTTGTAGTCTTTATATTTTAGAGTAATTTCCTTGTTGAGTTAGAATTGTCTGTCCACATTAAGAATTTGATTGAATGAAACCAAAGCAGATTATTGAAAATTTCCCTATTGTAGTTGTACAAATATAGTTTGTCTTCTATTGTTCTATATTGCCTTTATCCTTTCTCTATCTATGTTACTGCATTACAACTATAATAGTTTTATATTTCACCTCTTTTTATTGGAATTAATGCCTAATCATCTTGGTTTAGGGCTAATCATGGAAAGAGGATTGGAGGGTTCCAGTGGCTCAGCAGCTGCCATCGACTCGTCTAACATTGGTTTTCGGGTGCGTTTTTCTCCTGTGTCGTTTTACTAATTTAAGGTTTATCTTGGTTTGATTGTGTACTTAGTTCTGCTTTTGGTGTTTTGTAGCTTCTGAAGAAACATGGTTGGAAAGAAGGAACTGGTCTTGGGATTTCTGAGCAGGTGGCTATTCTACTTTTCCTTAATTACATTTTCAACTGTTATTTTTTCAATTGTATTTTTGTTTCGGAATTTATATAGTTGGTACTCTCTCAAAATATTGGCTTAAGCACTTTTTTGTCAATTTTATTTTGGAGATTACAGACTTGACCCTTATTGGACTCTCTCATTTCCTCGCGATTACCAAGTAGGATCTAAATTTTAACTTTGCTTGCTTGAAAAAGGTTTAAAACTTGTTTTCTGGGTATATGTGTGTGTGTGTACATATATATGTATATATATATATATTTTGATAATAAACAAAACTTCATTAATAAAACAAGAACTTTACAAATGAAGTTTATGGATGGATGAGAGATCCATCCAGGGGAAATAAAGAAGCATATACATAGAACAAAACAAAAAAAAAATTTAAAATAGTACGACAATATTGATTAAACACCTCCCAAGCAGAACCACAACCAAGAGCCTTACACCAGCCTACACTAGAATATCCTCCCAACTTAACATTATTAGGGACAAAAAACAAATCTTTGAATGAGGAATCTGTGGGAGAAGCTAGAAACTTAGCCTTCTCATATAAATCCTCAAAGCTCATCTCCTTTCTTCAAAAATCCTCTGGTTTCTTTCTAAACAAATCACCCATAGAGTCGCAATAATCATTGCTCTCCATAATGTCCTGGCCCTCTTGTGTTGCCCAAATCCAAATAGGTCCTCGACCAAGATTGTATTACTCTGAAAAGGAAAGACCCAAGAAAGAGAGGCAGCCCCCAACAGTTTATACCATAATCCTCGAGCTACCACACAATGGAGAAACAGTGGTCCACCGTTTCAGCATTGTTCCTGCACATAACACACCAACTAGGAGACAAAGCATATTAAGTGTGTTCAGTTTCTTATGAAAGACCTTAACCCGAATAGGAGCACAAGATTTCCAAATGGTATTAAAAGGTTCAAAGGGTGGATTATGGGGACCAGGGAAAGAAAAAAAGAATTGCAGGAGAATCCATTTGGGCGCACAAACCAGATCTGAGAATCATTTTGAGAAGGGTTTAGAGAGAAGCTCTCCAAGATATTGAGAAGAAGAAAACTGTTCAAACTCTCTATCATTGAAATTCCTGCGAAATCTAAAATTCCAATTGAATTGAGAACCTTCCTCATGCACCAGAATATCTTTTATCTTGGTCTCTCTCTCACTAGTCAGATTATACAATCTAGGAAAGGCAATGGCAAAAGGCAGATCGCCACACCACTTATCTTCCCAAAACCACACTCAACTGCCATCACCCACCTTTTACTTCACTCTTTCAAGAAAAGATGTCAAACCTTGAGAAATAAATTTCCAAGGATTCCTATGACTGCCTCTAGTAACGAAGTTAGAGTCCCAGCCGTTGGATTGTACCATATTTACTCCTAATGATAGTAGCCCAAAGAGAGTCTTGTTCCAAAGGAAATCTCCAAAGCCATTGACCCAAAGAGCTTGATTTTTCTTCAACAAATTCCCAATACCCAAACCCCCTTCTTGCTTACTAAGAGACACAACCTTCCACGCAACCAAATTATCCACCTTGTTCCTCTCCAAACCATCCAACAAAAACCATCTCATATGAGCTTCCATCTCTTTAGCTATTGCCACTGGGATCTTGAATAGGGAAGAAAATAAATTGGGATACTAGATAGAACCGACTGAATCAATGTTAACCTTCCTCCCCTAGAGAAGAATCCTTCTTTCCAATTGTCCAATCTTTTTGAAATCTTTTCCATCAGCGGACTCCAAAATTCTCTAGACAAAGGATTTCCCCCCAATGGTAAACCCAAGTATTTCATCGGTCAAGATCCCACTTCAAAATCCAATTTCCCACCCAACAATTGATCACCTCCTCCTCCACATTGATCCCATTCAATGTACTTTTCCCCACCCGGAATATTTTGAGAAAATTTCAAGAGTGATTGTATTTTGAAAGTTATCCCTCGAGGGTTCAAGAAGCAATAGGGTGGCATCTGCAAATTGAAGATGGGAAACATGAATACTCTCACTGCCTACCCTAAATCCCTTGACTAAGTCTAGTTCCCCAGCCTTTTACATTAGTCTACTTAACCCATCCACCACTAAAGTGAAAAGGAAAGGAGAAAGTGGATCTCCTTGTCTTTAACCCTCGTGAAGCTCCAAATCTACCTCTCAGTTTACCATTAACCAAAATGGAAAAGTTAGCTGTACTAATACAACCCACAATCCAGCTAATCCATTTCTGTCTAAAACCCTTCTTTTCCATCACTTACCTAAGAAAGTTCCAATTGACATGATCATAGGCCTTCCCAAAGTCTAACTTGAACACCAACCCTTCTCTTCCACTAACTCTATATTCTTCAACAGCCTCATTCGCCACCAAAACACCTTCATATGAAATGGTTCGTTATATATTATTGGATATTGTTACTTAAAACCTTTCTAATACAATGATAAGAAATTTTGAGTTTCTCACGTGTTTGATTCCTAGTCAGTCTACTTGAAACATCAACCAAGTGTCTTTGATGTTTGGAAGTGAACTGCCATAGCAAGTGCGTTGATAGGAGTTCAAAATGTTATAATTGACCATTGCATTGGGGTCAGAAGTAAGATTTGGATATTTGATTTAGAACATTTAGTAGCTGACTGGTATGTGAACAAGGTTGTACACTGGTGTCGGAAATTTAACTAATGGCTTTCTTTTGTTCTCTGTTTTTTGTTTTTTGTTTTGTTTTTTTTTTTTTTTTTTTTCAAGTGTAATAGACTAATATTTTTTATTTTTGAACAGGGTAGGTTGGAACCTGTAGAAGCTCATTTGAAGAATAACAAGCGGGGTTTGGGAGCTGACAAAGTAAAGAAGAAGGCCCTGAAGCCTCTTGATACTAAAACCACTACCATCCCTGATGGGAAAAGTGAACAGGTGATTTTCATTGACCATAGCAATATCTTAAACTTTTACTCCACTTCATTTTTTTCCCTTTTTTCTTTTTCTGTATCCTCATTTTTCTTGGACTGCACTTGTAATTGATTAGAAAGAACATATGGTATTGATATGAAGAATAAATAGCAGACATTTAGGGCGTTTTTACTTCACATGTAAGGATAAGGACAAGGAGGAGTGTTTTCTTTTTCATTTAATCATGACTTACAATATTGGAAACGGTAATTTGGTGGATACTATACAATATAGGAAATGAGGAAAAGGAGTGCCTAGCATCCCCTTAGGAGTCATGGTATTGACTCCGGGTTGTTGATATTAATTGCAAAGTTACTTGTGTTATATATTTTTGATATGTTCACTTTATAAGCCAATCATCATCATCATCACCATCATCATCACCATCATCAGCATCGTCATCATCATCATTATTTGCTAAAAAGCCACTCATTATTTTATCACATAAAAGCATTGATAAGATTCTTATTCTTAAGTTCCTTGAAAAAAAAAAGATTCTCATCTTAAGTTTAGTAAATACTAGAAAAGGAATTGAATTATTTTACATCTCATTTTCTAAGATAAATAAACACAAGAAAGGGAATTAATGATTCTCATTTTGTCCCTTTACTTGCGAAACTTGTTACCCTTTTCCATTAATAAACAATTCCCCAATGAAAATCAAGAAAGAGGCAGATAATCTTTAAAGCTTATTGCAAGAAAGAAAATCTTATAAATATTTCTGGATCTAGAAGAACTCACCATATGCTAACAGATAGAATGTGAGATGAATGCATTCGTTCATCTAGAATAAGATCACACTTTGGACAAAATAAGAAACAATTCACTATTGGATTTGTTTGGATCATGAAGAGAATTTTCACATTAACGTGATTTTTAGGGGGAAAATATATAGAAAATACAACTATTCTCACTGGACAACCTTTGTCGGGAAGCTGTTATCTGCTTACTTCGTCTTTTTTCTTCCATTTCTCATGAATTTTTTTCCCCTTGGTGACTTTGCTTTGTACATTTTCCTGCACACTATCACTAATATTGGTGATTATTTAGGAAGTGCCATTAAAAAAATCCAAGCCACTCTCTAAAAAGATGAGGAAAATGCAAGAGCTCGAAAGACAAGTGCAGGAGAAGGAATTTGAGCGGGCGTTTTTTAGGGAGTTCTGGCCAGACAATGTTTGATTGATGGTTTATATTTTTTATTTTAATCATTTTTGGCCCCCCCATTTTTTCCATCTTTTGGGATTCGGGGTTTTGTACAGATTTTATTCTTCCAATTCTGGCTCAACAATTGCCTTGTTGTATAGTTGATGCTGTAAAATAGGCTTAACAACAGTTGACATTTTTTGTTATTTGTAGCTGAAAATGTAGATATCTTACAACAATCACTAATGATACAAAGACCAATTATTTTTGGGAAAATGATAAAATCCTCCTCTAGAGTTTAATCTAAATGGAAGAGTATACCTCGTGTTTTGAAAAATGTTGAAATTGTACCGTGTTTTTCTGTTCAAATAAAATCTACTCATGTTTTTTTTTTTTTTTTTTTTTTTTTTTTTTTTTTTTTTCCCCACCCCAACCCCTG